TCCAGCAGCACGCAGGTGAAGAGCTGCAGCAGGTTCTCCACGCCCAGCAGCTCGAAGGCCTCCCTCAGGGGGTAGTCCGCCAGCGGCAGCTCGCCGGGCCCCGGCCGCTGGCACGCCACGGGCTCGTACACGCCGTGGAACTTGAGCGAGCGCCCGGGGGGCGGCAGGGGGACCTCGTACAGGATGTTGTGGACGTAGCTCTCCAGGGGCAGCGGGGGCGGCTGGGGCGCGGTGACGGCGCGGTGCAGCTGCAGGAGGAACTGGCGGCAGGCGTGCATGAAGGGCAGCGGCGCCACCAGGCAGATGGCCTTGGACACGTAGAGCGTGTCGCGGCCGGCGTCGTAGGCGCCGCAGCAGGGCGGCTTGCTCAGGGGGCCGGCCTCGCCCTCGTCCAGGCTGCTGGCCAGCGAGTCCATGCTGCAGGAGGAGGAGGCGCAGACGCTGCCCGCGTGCTCCGCCTGGTGCATCTGGTACAGCGTCTGCATGGCGCTGCAGATCTGCCTGCTGGTCACCTCCTCGTAGAAGGTCAGCACGAAGCCGTAGGTGCGCGAGCCGTCCTCCCGCGTGATGAGGTAGGAGTGGAACTGCGGCTCCCGGCTGTCCAGCTGGGTCCGGAAGGACAGCCCCTTGGGCATGCAGAGCTAGAGACAGGGCGACAGGCAGGGACAGGCGTGAGCAGCTGATCACCCGCTCATGGGAACAGCACTGCTTTGAGCCGCCAACGTGACGCAAGCACGGCTCTAAGCACCACGAGTAAGAGCAGCATTCAGGGAAGAGTGAGACTGGAACAGGAGCAGGGCCGTCCCTGAAGGGTGGACAGTCCGGCCTGCGATCTGGTGAGCACAAAACTCAAGACCGAAACTGACGCTATTAAAGACGGGCGTGCTCTCCTTCTACCACTGATTGCAGCAGCTGCGGGCGTTTCCTCGAGCAGCCCTGGGAAAGTCAAAGAGAAAACAGAAATGCTTTTCCTGACAACGTTATGTCTGACACATGTCTGGCTTCTGGCTTCTGCCCCCCCCCAAACAATTAAACCAGCAGCATCAATAGCATTAAGAATAACTGGCCCCCGATAAGAGGGTGTTTGAGGAATACAATCCAACAAGCGCAGCACTCCATGTTAAAGACAAACCCTGTAATCAGCTTCCCTCCATCCTTTTTCCCCGGGTGCAAACGTCTCTCTCCAGTAATCCCCGTGATGGAGCTTCACTCCCAGGGGAAAAGCCTCTTCTGGAATAAGCCTCTGTCTCTGTGATTTATACCAGGAATTGAAATGGGTCTCAGCATAGGTATTAAACAGCAGTGCTCAGCGGGATCTCACACAGACAAAAACTCTACACTGTCATCTCCATGGCAGAGTAACCTTACTGCTTTTTCTAACAAAAAGCAGTTGACCAGTTACCGTCTGTAAATGTATTCCTGCACTGGGTATATTCCAGAATACCACCTGATCTGGAGTTCATATGAGCAACACATTTTAGACTCTCAGTTCTATTCACCTGAGTGGAGTTAACACCAGGCGGGTGAACGGTCATAGATATTCAATTGAGCATGAGGGATGCAGGGGAGTTCAGTGGGACCAGGCAGAAATTCTTGCTCAATTATGCAGTGTTTCAGATCACGTGGCACAGAATCGCTTTCATTTCCTGAAAAGGCTTTCCCCATGCTGCAATCTGGATAATGAGGATACATTCTAATTAAAATCCATGATAAGGAGTCTGCTGCCCATCTTTGCTGAGCGGGCTGAGTCACTGTTGT